CGCCGGCGGCACCCCGGGAGGCCCTCCCAGCACTTTACCCTCAGAACGACGCCCCTGCGAGGAAGACCCTCCCCAGAGGCTCTGGTTAACCCGAAGCCTTGTGGCGGAGTGGGGGGGGTGGAGTTGGACCCCTGCCTCCCCTAGACTGCAAGGGGGGGCATTTGCAAGGTTTCCCTGCCCTTCTGAGGGCGAGAACTGTAGACAGTCTCCTCCTGAGGTAAGTATTCAGGTGAGCTCCGAGCAAGGTAGCAAAAACCTCCCAAAGGATGATGATGATGATAATGATGTCATTGTGTGTCATCAAGTGGCTTCTGATTAATGGCAACCTTATAAATTAGTGCCCCCCCCACAAAAAAGGACCTGCCATTAAGGAAGCTGCTCAGGCCTTGCAGACTCAAGGCTGCGGCTTCCCTTGATGGAGTCAGTCCATCTCTTTCTGTACCACCTTCTAACTTTTCCCCACGTGGCTGTTTTTCAGGTCAATCTTGCAAAGTGCGGTTGTCCAGCTTAGCCCCCCCTCCTCCCCCCAGATCGTGGGTCCCAGCAGCCTGTCCAGCAGCAGGCTTTGCTTTGATCCACCGCTCTGTTGAGCAGGTTCTTCAAGGACCATTTCCTCACACACCCTGGGTGGACGTGGTGTCTTTTCTGGGCTACAGCTCTCCCTCACAATGATGTGGATGGAAACCTAGAGGCGTCATGGACCGACCGCAAAACTCTGCCTTGCATCATGGAGGTTCCTGCTGCATGGGTTGCTGTAGGACACACAAATGATTCATGCCCTTGAACTGGCTGTTGTACTAACTTCCGGTACTAAAGATGGTGCAGGAGAAGTATTCTGGGAGCTCAAACACTTTGCTCACAATTTGTAGGATTTAGTGGGTCCTGATGACCCCTGATTATTTATTTGGGGCTTATTTGCCTGTGAGCCAATATCTTCGTAACTAGAAAAGATGCCAAATATAGTGACTCAAACGCAGGAAATGATTTGTTTCCCTCCTTCCCTCTTTCCTTCCCCTCTTTCTTCCTTCTCTTCCTTCCCTCTCTCCCTCCTTCCTTTCCTTTATGTGTTCAACAAAAGAAAGTCCCTTATGTGGCCAAATAGCCTGACATTGCCAATCTGTTTATGTCACAGGGAAGATTTGTCTTGAGAAGATTACTGGGTCATCCATGGCAACCTGAGAGAAATCCCACAAGGAGTGTGGCTCTGCTCTGTTCCATTTTGCAGGAAGGCATGAGGAAGAAAGAACAGAGACTCTGTCTTCAACTCCAGGTGAGAAGCACAGGGATCAAGAGGCTTGTGGCGGCTCAGAAATACGAACTGCTGCCTCCCAGCAGGCATGTTTTGCGCCTCCTCTCTTGCTGTTTGGCTCTTGCGCTCTTGAAACTTTTGCCCCCTCTTCATTCTTATCACAGAAACACAATGTCCTTCTGGCGACAGGTGAGGACTAAAGCAGCAGCAAAAAAGTTTTCAGAGCCCCTTTGAACGCAGATAAAAGTGGAGAGTATCTGGAGTCCCTTACTGGACACAAGGCTGGCCGGCCACAAGTTGGTGTCCCCGGTGACATGCAGTTGACAGGGATGTGTTAGAAGGTCTGGGGTGGCTTTTGGAAAAGGAGGAGGCAGATTTCTGGACTGAGAGAGAACGAGGAGGTTGTGTGGGGCATTGCTGTTCTATCCTGCTGGTGATCTTTGTGATGCATGAATGCTCTCCTGAAGAGCTTCCCAGGAACCTCTGGCCAGCCATCCACCATGAAGCAGGAGACCGTCCTGGTCGGTGGCCCTTGGTCTGACTGAGGCAGGAAGGCAGCTCTTCCGCCACATGGGCTGCAAGCAACACAGATGCCTAGTTTGGCTGGGTTGCTGCTGTGTCCGCTTCCTTTGCAATCCCCCACTTGCCCATTTTAGCTGTCTCTACGATCCTTAATAAACTCATCTTTGATTTACTATAATTGGACACAAAGTGTTCTGTGGTTAACAGGAGGAGAACAGAGATAAGCTGGTCAATGCTGGGCTAATGACTCTCTGGAGGGAGCACTCCCTTTCTCTCATCCTTCTGGCGCGTGTCAGAGGTCTCTGTCCAGGGGCCGACAAGTGCTAAAACTCCCTAAGGAACAAAGACAGCAGGCAGGGCAGTGGGATGCTCCAGAAGGGATGTTGCTGCTGCTGCTGCTGCTGCTGACCAGTAGTTTGGAGGAATCAGGATTCAAAGCCGTGCCCTCCAAGAAAAAACAGAGAGGGTGGGGAGGGCTGCATTTACCGCAACAGGGTCCCCAACACACTCCAAAACCTCTCATCTCAGAGAAAGAGGAATTCTTTTCAAAATGTTTTATCCAGCTGCAAGGCCAGGTCTGTTGCTTCAACCCTTCCAATCTGTCCTCATCCGCATGCTGTACCAAGAGGGGATAAAGAGAAAGGAGAGAAGGCGCAAAGCACGGTGAGGTTGGGGGTGGGGAAAGAGGCATGCTGGGGGCACAGGAGGGTGGCAAGTCATGCTTGACCCACAGATAAAGGTGCTGTGATAGATGTGGAGACCCTTCCCCTCCCCCACATACATGTGTTCAGCCACCGTGTTTTATCACTGACCATGCTAGCTGGGGCCGATGACATGTAACCAAGAACGCCCAAAGGGCCAAACATTTGTGGTATTGGCAGTTTTGCTTTCGGTTCCTGTCTTTGTGATCTCCAACGCAGAGTCCACCTTCTCCACAGCCATTGCACAAAGGCAAAATGCCTTTGGAACTATACACCTGAAAGCAGAGCTTGCTCTCTACCAAAGTCACAGGCCGCTGTGACCATTTCAGGTATAGATCAAGTTAGAACTTTCTGCCCCATCACGTTCCATTCACTCACAGTTAAAAAGCTTCAGACATTTGACAGCCTTTTCTGCTCCCACTCAGGAGGGATCGTTTTGGAACTCATTTTTGTTCTCACTTTGTTAAATAATTGTCAGCTGCAGATTTAGCTTCTCACTCTTTATTCCTAGCTACCGATCATTAAGTAACAAATGGAAGCACAAGGGTCCTGATATCAATGGCTGGGAACCCCCATTTCTTGCAACCTCTGTTGTAAAAATGGTGTCTTTACTCCCACTTGCTTCCTTGGTCTGTTACCTGACCGCAAGAGAATCTCCTGGCAGCTGAGAGTCTACCCAGGAGGCTTTGGTGAGGGCCTTTGCAAAAGGCCTTCTGGAAAGCCAAGTGGACAGTTACCAAGTCAGCCCTCCAAGGGCCTGCCAGTGTACACAGATAATTCTTCAAAAACCATAGTTTTAGAGACCTAGTTTGGTATAGGCTGCAGTAATGCCTCTTCATTAAAAAAAAACTCTCTTGCATTTTCCTGGTAACGATTTCCTCCACTTGGCCTGGAACACATGTTGGGCTGACTGGCCTGTAATTTTCAAAGTCAACCCTGGGTCCCTTTTTAACCACTGGGTGTTATGGTGATTGCTCTCCAGTCCTCTGGTGTGGTGGCTGGTCTTCACAGATGTAATGATCGCCATTTTCATCAGGAGAGCAGCCATTTCACATGTAGGGACTCTAGAGGAAGGGCTGTAATCCCCCTCCCCGATCCTGGGATTATTTGCTACTTACGGTTTTGTCACTGAGCTCTGAGCTTCTTCTTGAGCTACCACTGTTTGTCCTCTCAGTTCCACAGTTCCAGCATGGATGTCTGCCCTACATTGTCTCATCTGTAGTGAAAACAGGTGAGAAGAATTCACTCATATACCTTCTGGACTGCAAGGAGAACAAACCTATCAATTCTAAAGGAAATCAACCCTGAGTGCTCACTGGAAGGACAGATCCTGAAGCTGAGGCTCCAGTACTTTGGACATCTAATGAGAAGAAAAGACTCCCTGGAAAAGACCCTGATGTTGGGAAAGTGTGAAGGCAAGAGGAGAAGGGGACGACCGAGGATGAGATGGCTGGACAGTGTCTGCGAAGCAACCAACATGAATTTGACACAACGCCGGGAGGCAGTAGAAGATAGGAGGGCCTGGCATGCTCTGGTCCATGAGGTCACGAAGAGTCGGACACGACTAAACGACTAAACGAACGAACCTTCTGTATTCCAACCTTCCTTTATTTCTTTATGAATTATATTCAATTCATTTATATCCCACCTTTCTCATGACAAATTGACATTCCAGGTGGCTCAGAACACTTAAATTAAAAACAAACAACACTAAGAGAAGGGAAGGCAAGATCTCTGGGCTCCTTGGCTTTTGTGATGGACAGCTCTAATGTCTGCCATCCCTCTGGCTCAACCAGTGCCAGCCTAGGGGATGCCAGGGGATGTGAAAAAGTAGAAGGCAAGAATGAAAGCTGAGTTCAAATTTGATTTGGGTCAGAGAAAGATGTAATGTGTGAAGGGAGCTGGGAACATGCACCTGGGAGTGCTCTAAAGACGATGGGGTGGTATAGAAGCAGCACGCTTTTTTTCCAGAAGCCTCCAGAGACAGCGGCCAGTAGCTGAACGTAAAAGTCCCCCCCCCCAATTTCCCCACACACCTAATGCAGGCCACATTTGTGCTTCCCTCAAGTCTGCATCCTTTACTCTCAGACCAACAGAGCAGCTCCTGACATCCACAACCCAAAGTTTGCTGAGGAAATGCGCATGCAACCAGCTAATGAAATTATGGAAACATTCATTCAGAAGACTAAAATCTTAAATGTTGGTGTTGTGGAGCTGGTTGCCACACTGGCAAGCCAACCCCGTGGGGGTGGGGGTGGGATGAGCAGCTGACAGGCCTGCCCCTCCAAGTAAAAGTCATTCTGCCCTGATACCCTCTTCCTCCTCGCCCCTGGTGGCAGAAGGTGCTATTCAAGACCTTGTGTTTTCTTTCATGCTCTCTCTCTCTCTCTCTCTCTCTAGTTCACTTCTCGAGTTTCCCCTGTGGTGTCCAGTTTCTGCCGTGACACCTCTTTGCTCAAGGAAACTGGTGAGTTGAACCTGCCATGAAATGGAGCCCATTCCTCCAGCAATTTTGCACACTCCCGAAAGGAAACGTGACTCTTCGGGGGCCTCTCTCGCCTTGTCTAGGCCTGACACAGGACCCCACAAGGTCATCCCTTCTGGAATACACGAGGCTTTGCCAAGCCCCTCCGAGATGGGCGGGCGGAAGGTGCTTCTGGCCATTTGCAGGGCATTCTTCTCCCCCTGATTTAATCCCCCTCCCCAGAGATCGCCAGAGGCAGGCAGTGGGGGCAGATGGGCTCTCCTCAGGAGGGCAGCGGATTAATTATTTTCTTCCAAGAAAAACAAAAAACTGCATTTTATTTCCAGATGCAGGAAGAATGTGGAAAAAATTGACCAATTACTTCTTCCTTTGCCAAAGCTTCATGGCCTTGGGTAGAAGAGCAGCGCCCCCACCTCTGTCTTAGACAAAGCCTCACACACTGAGACAGTGGGAAGAGACATAACTTGGAAGTGGGTGGGGACCCTGCTAAGCTTCCAATGGGGGTGGGGGTTCCCTCTGAGAGAAGGAGCTGCTCTGGCTGCCCATGTACAGTTTTTCCAGCATGTTTTAATAACATTCTGTTATTAAAACACGCACTTTGTGAAATAATGTGTGTATGCGTGCGCGTCCATCCTTCTGTGTTTCCTCCAGACTAATGAAACGCTGGAGATGATTAGGAAATGAATGGAACATACAGCTGCCAGTATCTTAATTTGGGTGTGTCTATGTGAAATGTAGGCCCTTCAGTTGTTTTGGCCCACAATTATCATCAGGCCCAAGTAGCATGAACAAGAGAGAATGTTGGTCTTGTAGACAAAGCATCATCTGGAGGGCCAAAGGCTCCCCACCTCTATCATAACATTTTTATATGAATTATTTTTCCAATCCCCTCAAGGTCCCTCCCCCCTTTCTTCTTGGCTTTCTTGTTCTCCATCACACTGGCCCTGTCTGCCTGTGGGTGGCTCCTTGATTTCCTCTTTGTTGTAATGTACATGATGTATTTGCATCAAAACATGGCACCTACTGCATCTGCATAGGAGTCGGAATATTCTAGAGCTTAAAAAGATGTGAATAGTAGGACATTGCCCCATGGCGCGTGTGCTCCACCCACCTGTAATACCTCAGTTCGTTTTAGCCGCTGCTGAAATCGGACTTCTCTGCAACTACTAGAGCAACAGTTTTCTGATCTTTGGACTGCTTAATGGTTTTTCGATTATCGGATGGTGGACCTAATCAAGTTTTTTTATTTATGGACGTTCCCTGTGAGTTATCTTTTCTTTGCACACTTGTCCTGGGTGTAAAAAGTTGACAAAACTGGCTCTAAAACTCCAGCTTCAATGACTGAGGTTCCACTTGTGGGAAAAATCTTTGGCACCTTCCAGTCTTCCAACCAGCCCCACAATGGAACCTACCCCAGTTCCAGTGCCTTGATCTGAGCCCTCCATCCCATTGGCTCCCACTGCTCCCTCGCCGAGGACCTCTACCAAGGCTTCCAAGCCTAAATCCCCCTCAGTATCAACGTCGACCTTGATGTCAAAGTCTTCCTCGGTGTCGGCAAAGACTCAATCTGTTAAAAAGCAAAGGGATAAGGACAGAGTCAAGCAAAAGAAAACTAAGTGGGCTCCTAAGCCTCATCAGACTCGTGAGCCGCCTGTTGTCCACGTTTCCCTCCCATTTCCCATCTTGGAGGAATCGTCAAGGGACATCCCGGACCAAGACTCCATTTCCTAACCAGGGGAGTCGGGCCTTCCTACTCAGGCTCAAGCTTTGGTCTCCATACCGAGCTTGTCTCCAAGTCATGGCCGTTCTGAGGCGGATGTCATATCCAACACAGCCTCAGCCCATTCTAGCCCTGTTTAGACCGGGTGGGCAACTGTTATCCATCTGTCGAATTCGGAGGCATCAGTTTTGCAGTCCCCTCTGTGGAAGAAGACAGCAAAGCGGCGTCACATCTCTCCATCCCCACAGTATCAGAAGGTAATCTTCTGTGTCCATCTCGACACTATGCCTTCCCTGAATATGGAGATCACCTTTATGACATTGATAGACACAGTAATTGCCACTATTGATTTGATGAATATGACCTGAGATTTGTTCAGGACTATTATGAGCGCCCCAAGCGTGTTCGGTGCACTTATGCCCCATCTGAATCTTCTCCGTTGCCACCTCCTATTTGGAGGCGACACCAAGCTTGTTACAAGCCCAGTCCAACGGTACCATTGCCTATCCAGAGAGTTCCTACCCAAGATATCCCCAATGGTTTTTACTCACATTATTTCACGGTTCCCAAAAAGGATGAAGGCCTCCATCCCATCTTAGACCTGCGACTGCTGAACACCTACATTCATCCAAGGCATTTTCGGATCAGTCATCCCTCTGCTTCTGCCAGGCGACTGGTTCGTGGTTATAGATTTTTCAGGGCACATATTTTCATATTTCATTTCACAAACACCATTTCAAATATCTCTGTTTTCTCTTCATGGGCATTGCTATTTGTGCCCTTCCCTTCGAGCTGTCCACCGCTCTGAGGATCTTCACGAAGTATCTGGTTCCAGTCGCTGCCTATCTTCATCTGCATAACATCACGATATTTCCATATATAGACGACTGCTTGATAGTAGCACAATCATACAACGCAGCCCGAAGGGACACTACCTTTGTTCTACAGACTCTGGCAGATCTCGTCCTGCAAGTCAACTACAAAAATCTTGTCTCTAGCCATCTCAGACCATGGATTATATTGGGGCACATCTCGATTCCGTTCTAGTCAGGGTGTTTACCCCTCCAGAGAGAATATTCAAGAGCCATTCACCCTTTTTGGCATTGCACCGCAGTCACCACTCACTATATGCAGCACCTGCTAGGTCTGATGGCTTTAACTACATCTGTACTCTAACATGCGAGACCGAAGATGCGGTCCTTACAGGCCTGGTACCTAGCCCAGTTCGTCCCTCAGCTAGACCATCCTTTCAAACATCTGCTGGTGACCCCAGAGTTAGCTTGCCAACTTACCTGATGGACCTTGGTCACTCACCTCCTGGCGGGCCGCCCATTCAGGCCTCTCCAGCTCATGGTACATGTCACAATAGACGCCAGTTGGATAGGATGGGGTGCACACTGCGGTCATCGAGAGATCCACGCTTTGTGGTCAGATTCAGAGAGACTGCTGCAAATCAGTCACCTGGAGCTGCTGGCAGTTATCAAATCCTTCCGAGCTTTCCATTTTCTCATAGCTGGTCGCGGAGTCTAAGTCATCACGGACAATATTACCATCCTGTATTATATCAACAAACAGGGTGGCACCCATTCTTTAAATCTTCTATATTTAGCAACCCAGCTGTGGGAATGGTGTTATGATCACCACATTTTTCTGGTAGCTCTTAATGTGGCTATAGAGAACAAGGTCACTGACCGTCTGAGCTGTCTTACCACCCAAACCCACGAGTGGACCCTCAACAACACCGTTTTTTCTCATCTCTGCAGTCGGCAGGGGACGCCAGGTTTCGACGTCTTTACCACCCAGGTCAATTCCAAATGCAGCAGTACTGCTTCTGGGCAGGAAGAGGAGAAAACTCTCTAGGCGGACTGGGGCGACAGTCTCCTTTATCTCTTTCCGCCCATTCCTCTCATCCAGCAGACGACAGTCAGACTCCGTCAGCTGAACTCCGATGCCACTCTAGTAGCACCATGGTGGCCTCGACAACCGTGGTTCACCACTCTCAGAGCCATAGTGACCGACTTCCTGAGGTTACCTCTTCAGACTCCCCTTCTGACTCAGGACAAAGGTCGGATTTGTCATCCCGACCTCGACTCTCTACACCTCACT